ACTGCTACGATACATTTCACCTTATCCACACAACACAACACACCACATATCGCCGTGAGACAGACAGACATTCACAAACATGCCAGCCAGCCACTCAGTCAGTCAGTCAGTGTTTGGCGGCAGCAGTCCTGGCATGGCGGGGGGGCTGCTCGGCCTCTGCTCGGCATCCAGCCGCGGCGATGTCGTGGTGGCCCATCCCACTGATGAATGGTCCGACACAGTGCGGCCCTTCCGCTGTGGCCGCGCACGGTCAGCATCGATGGCCGACATGGTGGGCGACACGGGACACCTCCACTCGCCCCCATGGTGGTCCTCCTGAGCGTGTAACGGCCCCCCAGGAGGCATTATCAGCTGACTGCACACACACACACACACACAGAGAGACAAAGGGAGAGGCGTGTGCAGTGCAAAGCAGTGGTGGTGACATTGATGGCCTTGCTTGAAGGCACTAATTACGGAGTCAGGATGGATGGCTCGTCGCGGCACTTCTGGGGAGAGTAATCGGTCGAGAAGGGCGTGTGCGTGAAATGAACCGACCCAGCCTGCACACACACAGACAAACAAGAGAGCTCTCCCTCCGTGTGTGGGCGTCTCTGTGTGTGTGTGCCGGGGGGGTGGGGTGGGAGGTGCTTACGTCATCCTCGTTAGCCCGTCTGTTGTTTATCATGGCGTTGAGGTGTGCGGCGGCGATCTCGGCTTTGGCCGGGTCGTCGCGGTACTTGATGACGTCATCCAGAAAACCCAACTCGCCACGCAGCGTGTCGTGCCTGATGGATGCGATGCGATGGATGGGGGGATGGACCACATGCATATTGACTAACCACTCTCCTCTCTCGTGTGTGTGGGTGTGCATGGCTTGCCGGTACTGGACTCGCATGTTGGGAAGGTTGGTGTGCCTGGCTGAGTTGCCTGCCGGCCCCGGCCGCTTGTAGCTGGAACCAAGCCAATGACGCTTGTACTGAGGCTCGAAGTTGCTGCCCAGACAATCAAGGCACAGCACATACCAACCAATGTCCCTCCCTCCCTCGCCTCGTGTGTGTGTGTGTGTGTGTGCTGTGCGTACCTCATGAGCACAGACAGCCTGGCGATTTCACAGAGATCCACGTTGGACATCTTCCACACATGCTGACCTCACACAGACAGAGAGACACCGACATCCTCCATCCATCCATGAGTGTGTGTGTGTGTGTGGTGGCCTACGGCAGCGATTGAGTACTCCTCCAGCAGCGGTTCGTCGGTGTAGTGGAACATGAGAGGGTCGTCGGTCGACAGAGACACGTTCATGCCGATCTTGAAGTACTGCGGGAAGGGATTCTTCGCTGTGTGCCATAAACACACACACACACACACACATAAAGAGACGCCTGCCTGCATTTGTATGTTTGGGTGCGTGTGCGTGTGTGTATGTGTATGTTCCGGGGGGGTGGGGTGGTAGGATAGCATAGCAACCACACCAAGTTCCAGGAAGAGTGCGTTGTTTGAGAGCGGCGACATGGCCAGGCCGATCTGCTTGAGGTAGAAGAGATACTGAAGCACCGGGCTCTTCTTCAACTACACAACACATAGAGGGAGGGAGGCATTGAGGCACCCAGCCAAGCAGCCACAGCACAGCACAGCCACTCAATCAATCCATCAGCACGTCCCTCACGTACCATAATGCCGTGGTTGATGGACTCGGCCAGCAGGTATGTGCTCGCCAGGTGGGATATCGACCCCGCCTCACCCGAATGAGGCCTACCACACCCCGATGACATGACATGAGATTGCGAGGAGAGGCAGACACACAACACATGCCGGCCGGGTGATGTGATGCCAGGTGGTGTCTGTCTGTGTGTGCCGTGTCGTGCGTGCCACGGACCTGTAGGCCATAGTGCGCAATCCCCTGGCGGTGAGCAGCTCGTTCAGAGCCCGGATGTTGGCGTACATGTAATACATCCTACAGATAGATAGATAACCACACACCCCGTGGTGTGTTGTGTTGACTTTGACTGACTGACTGACCAGTATGAGTATGGCGGGTTGTGTGGCTGCGTCCAGTCCTCAGGGTCGGGCAGCTCACCGCCCTCGGTGGTGAACTTTGACATGACCGACTCGTCGTCGACTGAGTCCCAGCCAGTCACCTGCACATGTGGATGGATGAATCGATGGATGGATGGATGGGTGGACAACACAAACACACACCGAGCGGCATGTCCGTCTGTCTGTCTGTCTGACCTGGTGGAGCGCCATGAAGACGTCCCGGTTGGCTTCTGGGTTGACGACCGCCTCGAACACGGGCCTAGAATCAAGGTTGACAACATACATACGAGTGTAGTGTCCTGCTGTCTGTGTGGCTGTGTGTGTTGGTCTGGTGTGTGGCTCCCTCCCTCACTGGAAGATGTTCCTGAGCATGTCGGCGAATGTGTTGACGACGCCCATCTTCTTGTAGAGCCCAAACAACCGGGGCACCTGGATCATCCACCGCACCTGGCACACACACACACACACAGACGTGTCTGCCCCTATCTGTCTCTCTC